TTTTTTATATATACATATACATGTATATGTAGTGTTTTCCTACATAGTCATTTATCATTTAAGTACACCAAAAATAAATGTGTCACTCAAGTTTATTTCTTATAATGTGGGCAGTGGAATTACGTAACTGGAGTCTTCACTTGAGGGGTTTAGAACTTAAACACTTCCGTGGTATTAGAGTATTTGGACATATAAAGTAAAAGGCTTCTTAAAGGGCCGTACAAGACATCCTTGTGAGGGAACTGTTCTGTGTCTTGATTATGGTGGTGATTACACAAATCTATGCATAGAATAAAATGGCATAGAATTAAGCACATAAGCACATACAAATGAGTGCATGCGAGACATGAAATCTGAATAAGATCCATGGATTATATCATTGTCAATTTCCTGGTTATGTTGCTATACTATAGCTATGTAAGACCTTATCATTGAGGGAAACTGCTTAAGGGTGCATAGATCTCTCTGTATTGGTTATTATGACTATACAGGAACTTACAGTGATCTTAGACAGTTAATTAAAATTTTTAAAAATGAAAGATTTCTTATAAGGTAGCTTTGAAATCCTTGTGAGAGATTTGGTTATATATTAAACATAGTCCATTTTTTTTCTTCCTCATCTTAAAGAATATCCCTCCCTCAAAAAATTTAAAGGAAGAAAGTGTTAAGGGGAAAATGATATTGCTAGTTTATTTCGAAGTAGTTTGTACTTTGATACTCATTTAAAAAATATATTTTATTGATTTTACACAGAAAGGAATTGAGAGGGAGAGTTAGAAACTTCGATAAGAGAGAAACATCGACCAGCTGCCTCTTTCACCCCCCCCCCCCCCCCACTGGGGATGTGCCCACAACCAAGGTATGTACCCTTGACCGGAATCGAACCTGGGACCTTTCAGTCCGCAGGCTGACACTATCCACTGAGCCAAACCGATTTTGGCACTTTGATACTCATTTGATGTCTTCAGGAAGCCATTTGCAAAGATAGCCCCTTGTGTGGTACAAAAAAAGATGATAGTAACACATCAGCTAGAGAAAAGGAAAATCCCTGGGAGGGCAAGTGCTTCTGAGTGGTTCAGAATTGCTGTTGTTATCCAGGAGGTTAATGACAGACTTTTCATTAGTGTCATTTCTTTTCCTGGTTTTAAGCTTTCTATGACTTCTCTCTGACCAGTGGCTTTCAACTTTTTTTACAACCCTTAGTAAGAAATACCTTTTACATCAAAATCCAGGATGGGAAGGAGGGAAGGAAAAAGATTTAGATATCTATATCTGAAACAAAAGTTTCACAAAACACTTTTCATCCTCAAGTGTGCTACACTCTGACATTTTCTTTCTATTCTTAATGTTTTTCAGTGTGGATTATGGCTTAGTAATTTGAGTTCATGATTCTTAAACATATTTCTTTATTTCAGAGAGGAACGGAGAGTGAGAGAGATAGAAACATCAATGATGAGAGAGAATCATTGATCGGCTGCCTCATACACGCCCCCTACTGGGGATGGAGCCTGCAACCCAGGCATGTGCAAAACTGCTCTTCTCCCGTCACCCCAGGCGGTGAAGACAATGGTTTGCCAACTACAAGTAGATGATTTTTGATCTGTGGTTTGGAAAAACAATCCCTAGGCCACCAGGTAAAGTAGTGTGGAGCCCCCTGGCACAACTTTCAAGGCCCTCACCATCTGGTTCCCTCTTCCTTTCCTGCTCTGCCTCCTCCTTCGCCCTCTAGCTAGAGGCATATTCAACATTTCTTGAACCTGCCTCACACTGTCCCATCTCTATGTCTTGACTCTTATTGTCCTCTCCCTAGTTCCCTTCCTCTTCCTGTTTTCTTGAGTCTTAGCTCCTATAGGCAAGCATATATTGTCCATTGTACCATTCGTATGTCCTCTCTGTCACTCCTCAGAAATTGCCCATGAGGTCAGGCATGTGTCCTAGTTGTCCCCAGTTCTAAAGTTACTCCTGTGAATTCTTTCCTGACTTCTGAGTATACGTTTGGCTAGTGTTTTTCAATTTTTTTCCTCCACGAGTACAATCAGAAATACATTTTATATTGAATCTGATATATACATTTGCTGTATATATTTGTATGAAACAGAAACAAAAGTTTCATCACATAATGCTATGTGCACTTTAATATTTTGTATTCTTTTTTTATTCAACCCATGACTTGATTTCAAAACCACAAATTGAGAAACATTTATTTAAGCCATTCTTACCCACTCTGTCATCTGCAGAGAGTTCTGTTATAAACCTTTACTTTCCATAATCACTGTTAGAAGGAAGTCTGTAGTACTTCAAGACTTGCAAACAGGACCATGAAGTTAAAATTAAAAAACTACATATTAAACCAAACCTACACATTTCAAAATAAAAACCTTAATGCTTATTAAAAAAGCAATTATAAAATTATACTCATGGTACAGTATATTGTCATTAAGGTACATTAAAAATACATAAAACTACTCTATGCTGTTTGTGGATACACACATATCTATACTGATTTGAATGAGAGAAACCAACTTCACATACTTGCTTCTTGATAAAAAGGGAGAAGAAATAGGATTTGGTGGTGGTTTTTGTTTATGTCTTATAAATTTTGCTTTTAACACTGATATGAGAAGCAAACATGCTGAAATGTTAACATTTGATAAATCTAGGTGGTGGATATATTTTATTTATATTATATTAATTATATTATACTATATTATACTATACTAGAGTCTCATGCATGAAATTCGTGCACAGGAGTGGGGGTCTCTGCCCAGCCTGCACCCTCTCGCAATCCTGGACCCCTCGGGGGATGTCCAACTGCAGGGGGATGTCCAGCAGTCAGACATCCCTCTTGCAATCCAGGACAGCTGGCTCCTAACTGCTCTCCTGCCTGCCTCCTTGATTTCCCCTAACCACTCTGCATGCCTGCCTTATTCCTAACTGCCTCTGCCTTGCCCCTGCCACCACAGCTTCATCTGAAAAGTTGTCCGGAAGTCCAGTCTAATTAGCATATTATGCTTTTGTTATTATAGATTATAATCTTTACCTTTTTATCTGAAATATTTTGTAATAAAAAGAAAGATAAATCTCTATAATGAAAATTGACATATCTGCTTGTAATCCTCTGTTAAGTTGCTATCTTATAATGCCATTATTATCTGGCTCCAAGCTACTAATCTGAACTGCAGGGAACTTTAATATCTCATTTAAAATTAAATATGAGCAATCAAATTTAGTTCAATTTGAATAACATTTAAGGAAAATCTGCCACAATCAAATAGAGCCTATCCTAGGAATAAAAGTAAAGTTTAAAATTAGAAAAATGTGTTATATCTCAGTCTGTTAGATAAGAAAAATAATAAAACTCAATATGCAGAGAAAATCAGAACACAAAGAATGTTGCTGTTGTTTAATATGTTGTTGTTTTTTAAATGATTTGAGAGAGAGAGGAAAGGAGCCGGGTAAGGATTGGGGAAGGGAGAGAGGGAGAGAAACACAGACATTGATGTGAGAGATAAACATCAATCGGTTGCCTCCCATACCCACCGATGGGATAGAGCCCAAAACCTTGGCATGTGCCCTGACCAGGAATCAAACCAGAGACCTTTCAGTGCATGGGATTATGTTCAATCAGCTGAACCCTACAGGCCAGGGCCATAGTTTTTTGGTGTTTGGTGTTTTTTTTAACTATGAAAATTAGAATGCTTTGTTAACATAAGCAGAGTATTTCTATCTGTACCATCAACCTTATGTTCAAAGATGAAGCACTGGAGTCATCTATTATAATGGGAGCAAAACAAGTAAAGCAACTCTTATAATTCTGGAGGTTCTAGCTATGTGTAATAATATGAGAGACAAATGAGTCACCATTTTGAGAAAAGGGCTCTCGTTATTGAGATTGCAGAAGCCTCGAACATAAACAACCAAAAATCTGTTAAAAATCAATGAGTTCCATCAATGCGACAACTGAACACATAATGAAGATACCAAAATGAAAAGCTTTCCTATATATAGGAATAACTGGCTAGATAATTAATGGGATAAAATAATCCTATTCATAAATAGCAAGCTTAACAAGAAACATGTAGGAACCTTTTAGAAAAAAAGTCAAAACTGTACTAAGACACAGGATAAAGTTGCAAACAACCTAAATATCCAACAAAAGGAAAATGGTTTATCATTTATATACCGTCCTGTTTCAAAATTATTTTAGGGTAGCTTTCACAATATATACTGTGACATAAAATTAAGTGAAGAATTCAGGTAAAGATAAATTTGAGGGATAGACCACAGACTTTATTCTGAGCTTTGTAGCAGCCAAAGTAAGGATGATCATGATAAATTATATAATTCATATTTATACCATAAAATATCGAGTTGATTGGAAAAAATAGCTGTTCCTAGTACTGAGACTAGCGTGTTCTCATGTTCCCCAAAAGAAGATAACTGCTGTGTAGAGATGATCCTTTTGATAATCTAATGCAGCAAACAGCGCTGGGCTTTGTAGAGCTGTTTCTACTGAACTCCTTGCTAAGGGGCCGCATAGAACCAAGCTCTAACAGTTTGGTAAAGATGTTTGCAGTGGAGCCGAAACTGGTTTGGCTCAGCGGTAGAGCGTCAGTCTGCGGACTGAAAGGTCTCAGGTTCGATTCCGGTCAGGGGCATGTACGTTGGTTGCGGGCACATCCCCAGTAGGGGGTGTGCAAGAGGCAGCTGGTCTATGTTTCTCTCTCATTGATGTTTCTAGCTCTCTATCTCTCTCCCTTCCTCTCTGTAAAAAATCAGAAAAAAAAAGATGTTTGCAGTGGAGGGAGGAATGGTGATGGTTATGGCTGGGATAAACTTGAAGATAATGTAGTGCACTATGAGGGACAGCTCTATGGAGTAATACTTTAGAGACTAAAATTGTGGTTCTCAGCTGAGGTACTGTGTTACCCTGGTGTCCTGTGACTCTTCACAGATAGGCCACACTGAGTTTTTGTCAATGTGTTTATTTTCTGCTATAGTTGAGGGTCCATGTTGCTAAGAAGTCTGGAATATGAATGCACAAGTCACCAGGGAGGCCAGACAAGGAGGCACAAAGTGCTACTCAGGCTGGCAATAAAAAGAATTTCACGTGGATGGACTGAATAGTCTTCGTAAATATTCTCTAAAATTGGATTTTGGCCGAAACCGGTTTGGCTCAGTGGTAGAGCGTCGGTCTGCGGACTGAAAGGTCCCAGGTTCGATTCCTGTCAGGGGCATGTACTTTGGTTGCAGGCACATCCCCGGTAGGGTCTGTACAAGAGGCAGCTGGTCGATGTTTCTCTCTCATTGACATTTGTAGCTCTCTGTCTCCCTTCCTCTCTGTAAAAAAATCAATAAAATATATTTTTTTAAAAAATTAGATTTTGGTAAGTACTGTGTAGAACAAGTAGGTTGTTTCTGTCAGATATAGGTTCAGATGTTTTAATAGTTGACTAATGGAATTAATTTCAGATGAGGTAAGATACTATTATAGAAAGCTAGCCTACCTAGTGTTTCCCTAAAATACAATTTAAGGTTTGATCCAGCACATGTTGGAAAGGGCAGTCAATGTTTCCAAATTCCTACATAGTAATATTAGCCACCTCTCAGCATTTTTATATTACAGCAGAGTCTATGTCTTTTTTCTTACCAAAGCCTTTCCCATCAAGGCAAATAAGGTAATATAGAACTCCCTGTGACAGTGTATACACACACATACACAGTGGGTAAAAGTATGTTTACAGTTGTGAGTATGCGAAACAGTTTATTCTTTTTTAAAATATATATATATTTTATTGATTTTTTACAGAGAGGAAAGGAGAGGGATAGAGAGCCAGAAACATCGATGAGAGAGAAACATCGACCAGCTGCCTCCTGCAAAGCCCCTACTGGGGATGTGGCCGTAATCCAGGTACATGCCCTTGACCGAATCAAACCCGGGACCCTTCGGTCCACAGGCCGACACTCTATCCATTGAGCCAAACCGGTTTCAGCAAAACAGTTTATTCTTATATTATTATTACGCTAGAGGCCCCCTATGCACGCAATTTGTGCAGGAATGGGCCTTCCTTCCTCTGGCTGCCAGCACCTGGAACCCAGGCTCCCTCCAGCCGCCCGCACCCTGGACCCAGGAGACCCCACCCACCCGCCACAGCCGGCCAGTCAGTGGCCTAGGCCTCCCTCTGCAGGGTGATCATGGGGTGATGGCCATACCCCCCACTAATCACATTACACCCATCTTGGCTGGCCTGGTGATGGTCGGTGTCATAGCATGGTCTCGGATGGTTGTCTGGATGGTCGTTCCACTGTTCTGCCAGGTCAATTTGCATATTACTCTTTTATTATATAGTATTATTTTCATGGGAGGAACTGTAAATCTACTTTTGCCCCACTCTGTATATTTATGTATACATAAACACATGCATATATATATATATATATATATATATATATGCACAAATACTGTAATAGTAATGAAAAGGATAATTTTTTAGAAATTTAATAAAATTGATAGACCTCTAGCAACACTTATGAAAAAATAATAGAAGAAACATTATCAATATGAATGTAAAAGGAGATCCCTCTGCAGCTTAAAGGAACACTTTTTAATTGAGATAATAAAATTTATTCTCATGTGTAAATGTTTAGGTATGATCGTACTGGAAGGCATAAAGAAGTAATCAGAAGCTTTTACCAAGATATAGAATCACCTAGAATAGGGGTGTCGAACTCAGAGAAAGGTCCAAAATCTAAAATCCAGCCTAAATCGCGGGCCGAAATGGTTTACTGAGCAGTCATAAACTGTCATTGTGATGGAAACTCAGCGGAGTGCAGTGATGACAGCGCGGTGCAGGCCACATTGCAAGGCCTGGCGGGACGGATTTGGCCCCCGGGCCTTGTGTTTGACACATGTGACCTAGAATATAGACAGATGCAGACTGTCAAGTGTATTAGCATTGCTCTCAGTGATGTGGTTTTCAGAAATGGTAAACACCTCTTGGTAAAGATCTGAACAAAACAAAGTACAGTCCTTATGACTTACATGGAAGTTCCCGTCCTAGAAAATTTAGCATATATTAAAACCATGGCCAAAACCGGTTTGACTCAGTGGATGGAGCGTTGGCCTGCGGACTGAAGGGTCCCAGGTTCGATTCCAGTCAAGGGCATGTGCCTTGGTTATGGGCCAATCCCCAGTGGGGGGAGGGGGAGTGTAGGAGGCGGCTGGTCGATGCTTCTCTCTCATCAGTGTTTCTGACTCTGTTCCTCTCTTTTCCTCTCTGTAAAAAATCAATAATATATATATATATATATATATATATATATATATATATATATATATATTTTTTTTTTTTTTTTTTAATAAATAAAACCATGTTAAATTTACTTGGTGTTTACAGGTAAAACTGTGTTAGGGGCTAGGCTGAGATAAATATTTAAAGATACCATGGCAGATCTTCACTGTGCAGAAACTGCCCCCAAAACATTACAGGACACCCCACATGCCTGGCCTCTGCAAAGGGATTCACAGAGGGTGGCTCTGTCCCTGTTGGGCTAACAGAGTTTTTCATGGTCTTGGCGGCCAGATGGTAAAGCATAGAATGGCACCTGGCCTCACTCCAGGAGTGCAGATCCATTGGACAAGCTTGCCACTGGAAGGGATGTTCCTAGCGGCTTCTCTACGCCTCTATAGAGAGTACCAAAAGCTATTGGACATTGGATATTTTTTTCTCCCAGTTTTATTGTACTGTAATTGACATAACATTGTAAAAGTTTAAGATGTACAACATAATGATTTATATACTGCAAAATGATGTAATAAATTAGTTAACATCCATCACTTAACATAGTTTTTTATGGTGCTGAGAACTTTTAAGATATACTCTCTTAGCAGTTTTTAAGTATACTAGTACAGTATAGTTAATTGTAGTCACTATATTGTACAGTATACTTTTAGAACTTATTTCTCTTATGATTAGAAGTTTATACCTTTTGGTCATCTTTACCTACTTCCCCCTTCTTGGGCTTTGGTTTAGCTGTCCTTAATAAGGTGCTTTCCAATCCTAAGATTTTCTATTTCTCAATAATGTTTATTTTCCTTGTTTTTGTTTTAATAAGAAAATGTAATTGTGTGGAAGTGTTAAATAATGTTTAGTGCCATTGTGATTGTTTTCTGTGACCCTTTCCATTTGAAACCCTCTGGTTACCAGAGTCTGGTAAATAGGCTTGTTCTTTCTCTGAGCTCGGTCACTTGGCCCTGCCTTTCCTGTGGGGAGACCCCGGCCGGCCGGGCAGGCAGTCCCTTGCCTCTGGGCTTTAGAAGAGCTCCAGCCCAAGAACCAGCAGTCTGGCTTCCTGCTCAGTCTCCTCCATGTTTTTCAGGCTGTTTTCCCCAGCATCACGTGCCGGATAAAAAGAGAATGAGTGTAGGCCAGGAGAGGTGTGTTTATGAAAGTTTTTGTTGTTATCCTATTTGATTCTCTTCTCTTAGGAATGAACTAAACGTTTGCAATTGAATTTTAACTTGTCTAATACCGAGTTTTATTTTTTATTTAAGGCTATTTCTGATGCTTGGAAGCTATCCTTTCGGCCACAAAGATGGTAATAAATCTTTGCCTCCCACAGTTCAGACCAAGAATTTACTGCAACAAGGTAAACAAAAGAAGTATATACACATAAATAAATTCACTACATCTGTTTTCATGTGTGTGTCCTCCCCAGCCCCCGTACTCACTGCCTTGTATAGTGAACTTAAGTCAGGCTTAATGTGCTTTCACAAACCTCGTTGTTTTAGATCCACCTGGTGATATTGAGATAAGATTGGGTCAGGCTGCACCTCTAGAGTTAGTTCCATTGCAAGGTGAGCTGTGACTCATTTTGTGGATAGTCATATTTATTGTGCTTTTCCCTCTGATGATAAATTTTAATTTTACTCAAAGTCAGTTAAGGTTACAGACCCTCTTTCTCATCTTTCTCACCCCCCTGTTCTTATAATTTTAAATGCTAGAAATGATGGCTTATATTTTTTATTTGTATTCCTTGTGGGTTTGTTTGTTTGTTTGTATCTTTTTTTTTTTGTCTGACTGCCTTTATTCCTTGTTCCTTTTTTTTTTTTTTAAACATCCCTTAACTTTTTTAAAAATATATATTTTTTTATTGATTTCAGAGAGGAAGGGAAAAGGGAGAGAGAGATAGAAACATCAATGATGAGAGAGAATCATTGATTGACTATCTCCTGCATGCCCCTTACTGGGGATTGAGCCCGAAACCTAGGCTTTTGTCCTTGACAGAAATCAAACTTGGAATCTTTCACTTGGCAGGCCAACACTATCCACTGAGCCAAACTGGTTAGGGCTTCCTTGTTCTTTTCATGAATTAAGTTGCCTCCCCTTTTGTACAAGGAGAGTGTGTTTCCACAGCTCAGAGCAGTGCATAACATAATGAAGTTTGAAGGGGAGAATTGAACCCCTCCCCTAATTTGGAGTTTCTTCACTCAGCGTACTATTTTAGGTTCTCAGATTGTAAAGGTGGCTCCTTTAAAGATATCTTAAAATTTCCATTGGTTGTAACAAGTATTAGATTAAAAGATGAAGAGATTATTTACAATCCCATCTTTTATACATGCACCATTTTAAATTTTCCATTATATTTTATGATCCTTGTCCCTGTGCACACAATTTTTTAAACCAAATTCCATCATTTATAGATTTAGAAGAAGCTTTTTAGTTATGCCTTCCTAGGGACCTTGTTGTAATGTGTAGTCCAAAAACAAAATTGAGAACTTTAATGAACATATTTTTTACCCCCTAAATATGCATCTTTTCATTTCCTGAAATAAAAAAAACTACCAATTTATATACTGTGTTTCCACAGAGATGTTATTTTCAAGGGATTTTGGCTGGGTTGGGCAAAGCTTTCTTGCTCCTATTTTTTAAGAAGAGACAGTACTTGGATACTATTGCTTTCATATTGGGTGCCTACAAAAAAACCCAGGAGAATTTGAAGTAATAGAGGAAATTTTAAAATGAGGAACTTCAGATTTTCTTTAAGAAATTTTCTTAGGGAGAAACCAAGATGGTGGCATAGGGTAGACACCCTAATGCAGCCTACCACAACAAATTTGAACTTAGAATTGGAAAACAGGGGAGGCATTGCCCTGAAGCACCGGACGGCTAGCTGAGAGGAGGCTCTGCCATCTGGGAAGGAGAGAGAAGGCACGCTGAACCTCAGGAACTGTGAAGAGGAAAACAGAATCACCCTATTGCTCTGATAGATGGCCCCAGACAGGGAGAGGCCAGACTGTCAGGCAGCCGGAGAGATCTCTCGGAGGTGTGTGAAGCCAGAGGCCATTACTGCAGGACTTGGGGAGAAGCCGACAGGAAAACAAAGCTTGTTTGCACCAACCCGAGACTCCGCCCCATCCAAGCTGAGCACAGAAGCTCTCCCAGAGGCTGGCTTTCTCTAAGGAGGGACTGGCCAGAATCCAAAGCTTGTCTGCGCCTTTACCAAAGAAGTGCGCACGCCTGCAACCAATCTTCTGAAACTCACCACGAACAGGACTTTTCTAAGGCAAGACTGACAGGGAACCAAAGATTGTCTGCGCCACCCTGAGACCCCGTCCCATCCAAGCGGAGTACAGAAGCCCTCCTAGCTGAGACTCTGCTGACCCTCACAGCCAACTGGCTTGGAGATCAACACTTCCCAGTGATTCCAACAATAAGCAAGGCTTAACAACAAGACTGCACACACAGCCCACAAAGGGCTACACCAAGATTGTCCGCCACAGGTAACTGGGAAGGCTGTGCTATTGGGCTCTACCAGAACACCTAGCACACAAAGTTTTGATTCCATCAAAACAAGGAAACAACTGAAATGCAGAGAAGAGGCAGGACACAAAGGAAGGAGATGGAGGAAAAGAAAAGATTGGACATTGAGTTCAAAACTACAGTTATAAGGTTATTCAAGAATATCCTAAAAAAGGCCGATAAAATAAATGAGACCTATGAAGATATGAAAAGGGAGCAACTAGAAATAATAAGAGATCAACTAGAAATGAAGAAAACATTGTCTGAAATAAAAAATATTACACAGAGTCCTAAAAACAGACTGGAAGATCGCAAGAATCAAGACAAAGATTTAGAACACAAAGAGCCAGAGGACACTCCTCCACAGAAGCAAGAAAAGAGAATCCAGAAAGTTGAAGATAGTGTAAGAAACTTCTGGGACAACATCAAGTGAAACAACATCAGAATTATGGGGGTCCCAGAAGAAGAGAGAGAGCAAGATACCGAAAGAATACTGGAAGAAACAGTGACAGAAAACTTCCCCAACCTGGGGAAAGAAGTAGACTTACAAGTCCAGGAAGCCCGCAGAACCCCAAACAAAAGGAATTCAAGGAGGACCACACCAAGACACATCATAATTAAAATTCTAAGAGCAAAAGACAAAGAGAGAATATTAAAAGCAGCAAGAACAAAGCAGGTAGTTACCTATAAAGGAGCACCCATACGATTGTCAGCTGATTTCTCAACAGAAACGATGCAGGCCAGATGGGAATGGCAAGAAATATTCAAGGTGATGAATAGCAAGAACCTACAGCCAAAAATACTCTACCCAGCCACGCTATCACTCAGAATTGAAGGCCAGATAAAGAGCTTCACAAATAAAAAAAAAACTAAAGGAGTTCATCACCACCAAACCAGAATCATATGAATTGCTGAAGGGGGTTATTTAGGTAGAGGAAGAGGATAAAGATAAAAATTATGAACAAGAAATATGTAACTATCAACAAGTGAATCTAAAAATCAAGGGAATTAAAAAATCTGATGAACAATATTAATTGGTGAATATAATAGAATCAGAGGTATGGAAGGGGAGTGGACTGACGATTCTCTGGGAAAAGGGGAGTGGGGGTGCGGGAAGAGACCGAACAAAAACTGTGCACCTATGGATGAGGACAATGGGGGATGGGGAAAGGATAGAGGGTGGGGTGGGAACCTGGTGGAGGGGAGCAATTGGAGGGGGGTGGGGGAGGAACACATTTGTAATAATCTGAACAATAAAGATTTATTTAAAAAAAATTTTCTTAGAAGTGGCAAATTCTTGAAAACTAGTTGTCTTCATTTGGGTCTCATCAATTTGCCTCATATTTGTCATTAAATCTGTAGATATCAGCTGATGGCTATGAAGTAGAAAATCTCATCTCTGAAGACCTCACGAAGAGAAGTCGTGGTTTTAGGACGGAGTATTTTATTAAGCCACCTGTCCACGTGACTGTTTCCTTTCCCTTCAGTGTGGAAATCTGTAGGATTAACATAGACCTCTCAGCTGGGGGAGGCCACAATGTGACTGGCCTGGAAATGTACACGTCCGCCTCAGCCAGCAGAGCATCTTGGAATGCCCCTGAGTGCCAGACCCTGGGCCCAGCTGAGCCGTCCCTCCCGGACAAGGAGGCGTTCACCTTCGTAGGCAAAGTCTTGTTGAAAAACCAAAACCAAGTGGTGTTTAGCCACAGGGGCTTCAAGGCCAGGCCACCATTTGGCCTGATGGAAGCCACACTCCCCTCCCCCGCTGTTGTGGCCCAGGAGCTCTGGAATAAAGGACCTCTTTCCCTTAATCACGTGGCCCATCTCAAGATCTGTATCACCCACGTGACGGGCAGTGGTATCCCGGGCATCAGACGGTTGGAAGTGTGGGGTCAGCCCAACAAAGCCTGCTCCCCGGAGGTAATAGGTAGTGTCCTGCTGGTTGCTTCCAAAACCCTCTCCCAGGACTTGGCTCTGCAGGTCCCGGCCTTGCCCATGGAGAGTGACTGTGACCCCGGGGGGGAGTCTGGGGGCCGGCAGGCCCCCTCCAGCCTACAGGAGCTGGCTGAGGTATTTCAGGATGTGCCTGAGGAGTTCCTGGATCCCATCACCTTGGAGATCATGCCTTGCCCCATGCTGCTGCCCTCAGGCAAGGTCATCGACCAGGCCACACTGGAGAAGTGTAACCGCAGTGAAGCCACGTGGGGCCGAGTGCCCAGTGACCCTTTCACCGGGGTAGCCTTTACTCCACACTCCCAGCCCCTGCCTCACCCCTCCCTGAAGGCCCGCATCGACCAATTCCTGCTCCAGCATTCCATCCCTGGCTGCCACCTGCTTGGGAGAGCGCAGGCTACGGGGGCATTGACCCCTTCTTCCATTGCTCTGCCATCTCGGAAAAGGAAGATGGAGCAGGCTGAATATGCCCCCAACAGTAGCCTTGACGTAAATGCTTCCTGTTTTTCTACCACAAGCCTGGTCTCACCCACTACCTCAGAGCACACTGCTAAGAAAATGAAAGCTGCCAATGAGCTCGGTCTGACACACATGGACTGCTCAACAGGTAATCCACCACCCTGTGTCCATGCCCGTTGTCACTTTAGTCCTCCCAGGTGACACTCGGCACTACTGTCCTTTTTTTTGCCTTGCCAGCCTAAGTTACCCCAAATCTTACTGGCTTAAAGCACTCATTTTTTATTTTTTTATTTATTTATTTAAAATATATTTTATTGATTTTTTACAGAGAGTAAGGGAGAGAGATAGAGAGCTAGAAACGTCAATGAGAGAAACATCGACCGGCTGCCTCTTGCACACCCCCCACCGGGGATGTGCCTGCAACCAACATACATGCCCCTGACCGGAATCGAACCTGGGACCCTTCAGTCCGCAGACCGACGCTCTACCACTGAGCCAAACCGGTTTCGGCTAAAGCACCACTCACTCATTACCTCAGCCCCTTTAGACAGGAATCACAGTGTTGCTTGGCTGGACTGTCTGCTTCAGGCTCTTCCAAGGCTTCTGGCAGGGCTGCAGTCAGCACAGGGCTTGTCTGGGGAAGAATTCGCCTCCACGCTCGCTCACATGGCTGTTCAGGTTGCGGTTCCGTGCTGAACTGCGGCACTGGAGGCTTCACTTCCTTGTTGACCGGGGATTAGAGACTACACCAGATTATTGCCATGTGGGCCTCTCAAAGGCAGCACACAACATGGTGTCACAAGTGTGTGCAAACAAGGTGGAAGTTGGTTTTGAGTAACCATGGAAATGACATCCCATCACTTTTGCTGTATTTTGTGAAAGACAAGGCCCTGAAGTCTAGCCCACTCTAAGTGGGGGAGGGTATCCCAGGGCATGAGGTGGAGTTCACTGGGACTCATTCCAGATACTCTCCCACACCACCTACTCCCGTGTTAGTCACTGTGCTTATCTAAGACGATGATTGAATTTTGTCTAATGTCTTTTCAGTATCAATGGAGATTAATTATAATTTTTCGTCCTTAGGCTTTTAATGTGAGAAAGACATTAGTAGACTTATTAATATTGAACCATTGTTACATTTCTGGAGTAAACTCCATTTGGTCTTGCTTCTTTTAATGGGTTGCTTGATTCTGATTGCTAGTGTTTTATTTAGGATTTTTGCATTCATTGGTGAGACTGGTCTGTAATGTGTGTGGGTGTGGGTGTGCATGCGCACCATATTTATTCAGGTTTGATGTGGATGATTTATTTGCTTCATAAGACAAATTAGAAGTTTCTTTTTCTAATCTCTGAAACAATTTAATATTAGCATCACACTGTTTTTGTTTGTCAGTCTTCACCAGAGGATATTTTTCCATTGATTTTTAGAAAGTGGAAGGGAGGGGGTGTGAAGGGAGGAAGAGAGAGAGAGAGAGAGAGAGAGAGAAACATCTATGTGAAAAAGACACATTGACCGGTTGCCTCCCACATGCCCTGACTGGGCCAGGGATCAAACCTGCAACTCTAGTCCGTGCCTTTGACCAGGAATCAAACCTGTGAGCCTGCGTGCCCAGCTGATGCTCTAACCCACATGTGTCAAACACAAGGCCCGCGGGCCAAATCCGTCCCGCCATGCCTTGCAATGTGGCCGGCACCGCGCTGTCATCACTGCACTCCGCTGCGTTTCCATCACAATGACAGTTTATGACTGTTCAGTAAACCATTCGGCCCGCGATTTAGGCTGGATTTTAGATTTTGGCCCCTTCTCTGATTGAGTTCGACACCCCTACTAACCGTTGAACATGGCCACCCAAGGAACATATTCACTCTTTACACGCTTGGTTTATTCCCTGTGATCGCCAGTGCCTGGTGCTTTGGGAGCTAGCTCTTTGACAGTCTTTTCTTTTTCTTTATGAAAATTCATCAGTATAGATTTTGTTCTTTTAATTTCCTCTCTTACTCTAAAAATCCTGAGCAAGTTAAAGGTTACAGCTGTGTCGTCTCTGTTTTTGAGTGTAATTTGTAGTTAACGTGACCCCCAGCAACTCCTGGAAGCACCTGAAGTGTGATGGGTGAGACCAGGAGAAAGGCTTTTAGACCTGGATGTCTGTGCAGGTCTCCACTGGTGTTGGCCTTGGCAGATTTATTGGTGACACAAGACCATGCTGACCAGTGGTCCTGGAAGGGTCCAAGCTGATGTCCTGTGTCCAATAAACATAGACAGAAATAATGCACTTTCCACTTCGGGCAGTTTTGTGAACCAGGCGGGTGTCTGTGTCCTTCCTTGGGCAGCTGCCCCCCTCCACCCATTGCCTGCATCTTGTGCCCATTGCTTGGCTTTCTGTAGACCACACAGAGAAGGCTCGATAGTGCAGTGGCAGAGTGAGCCCTTCATTGTCCCACTCAGTAGTAACTGCTTTGCTTTACCCAACAGGAGAGTGTGCAGGCCAGCATCCCTGCAGAGCAGTGGGGTTTCCAGAGGGAGGAGATGGAAAGAGCGGATTAAGGGTGCTGGGAAGGGAGAGCAGGGGTACAAGGCTGGATGTTTGCTGGCTCCAGTCATTCCCTGACCCACAGGGAGGCCTTCAGAAAGTAGGGTGCAGTTCTGCAGGGGAGCCACAAGGTGGCCCCCACCCGCCCAGCAGTTGTCCAGGAGGAGGAAAGTTAGTGCAAAGCCCAGGAATCCAGAAAGCAGCGTGGTGTGAGTGGGTAGCAACTGCCAGGGGCCCCAGTTGTGATGTATTCTCTCATCACAGTCCACTAGTAGACATCGGGAGGACTTTCCTTACATCTGTGTCAGTTTAAAGTTGTGGTCCTCAGTGGAGTTTTGGTCTTTTTGGTGTTTTGGTCTTTGTTTTGCAAACCTCTCTCTGGATATTGTCAACAGAGCCAGTGTCCCATGAGCAGAAGCTGTCACAAAGCTTGGAAATTGCCTTGACATCTACCCTTGGCTCCATGCCCTCCTTCACGGCGCGGCTGACCAGGGGACAACTCCAGCACCTCGGCACAAGGAGGACCAGCACTTCCTGGAGGGCAGGCACTGGCCCGGGTAACATGGGGCCCGTCCACCTCCTTGGAGCCCTTGAATGGGGTGCTGAGCCATAACGCTGGGTCTCTCTGGCCCTTCATGCCCAGCTTCTGAGCTCCAGTACCCAGGCCTGGGGGGGACCGGGTCTCTTCCTTCTCCAGCGCGGAGCTGACAGGCTCTTCATAAAAAGAGCTTTCTTTGGGCAACTCTTAGTAATTCTGTGGATGTAGATACCCTGCTGTGTTTGTTTTGTTTTGTTTGTTTGTCTAATGTAAGATCTATTGTTGATTGTTCTGTCCTGAGAACTTTGGTTTCTCCTCTTTAGTTTATTTTTCTTATCTAGTCTGTCTCCCATCTGACATCTGGGGTATGTTATGTAAGTGTGAAGTTTGGAGTTGAGTCTGTCACCTCCATTCTTTCCTATTAACATTTTTCTAGTCTTAGAAAAGAACAGTGGTAGCTTACTGAACCAATTTTTGCCTAAAATGAATCTGGGACCACATGAATATGGAACTGATTAGGATATTAAGTGGAGGCCTGATGGAATGCTGGGCATCTTCCCCAGATGAGACCTGGTGGGGCTACTGATAAGGCGCTCACTTCTTCCTCCTGCCCACCCAGAACCAGGCCCTCCGCTGCTGTCCAGACCACAGGCCATGTCTTCTGCCTTCGTCCCGAACTCCTCTCTGGTTGTTTCCATCCTGACCATTCCCCAAAACTTGTCTTGTCCAAATGACCGGCATTTCCATGACCATAAATAAATGGTCACTGATCATCTGCACAATACCTGAGGTGGCTGACTGGTCGTCGTCCCCCCCCCCCCTTCTCCCCCCCTTCCTCCTTTTCCTCCTCCTCCTCCTTCTCCTCCTCCTCCTTTTTTTAATATGGAACACTTCACGAATTTGCGTGTCATCCTTGCACAGGGACCGTGCTAATCTTCTATCGTTCCAATGTTAGTATACGTGCTACTAAAGCGAGCATGCCCTTTCTTCTGAAACACCTTCTTATCTGTTGGCCTTCTAAATGTTACTTTCTTTTTCTCCCTATTCTCAGTGACTCCTCTTCAGTTTCCATTGTTGACTCTCCTCCTCAATACTCTGGTCCTGGGCCCTCTTCTCTCTGTCCTCTTTGTCACCCAAGTGAGAGCCCACCTGGCCAGTGACTGCTCATGTTAGCCTACAGCTTTGGTCTTTCCTGGATCTCAGACCCCGACCTCCCTAACGTGGAAAACTCATGGAAATCTTGAGTGAACTTCTTAACTGAGGACTGCTCCAAAGGTTCTCCCGCCCACATCCCCTCCCACACCATTGAGGACCAAGAGCAACATCTTCTACCATTTGCTCAGGCCCAGAACATGCAGGCCTTCCTTAGTTCTCCTTTGTGTCCTCACAGTGACGTTCTGATCACCATCAGATCGTGTTCATACTCCTCCGGAGTGGATCTCAGCGTGGTCCTCTGTCCGCTGCCTCCCTCTGTGTGCCCCAGGCCCCGGCAGCAGCCCCGCTACTTCCTACCAGCCGCCCTTCCCCCGCCACAGCCGCCGTCTCACAGGAGCCGGATCATGCTCTTCCACTCAGAATTCCTCCATCGCAGCCCGTTGAACTTGGGATAAACAAACTCCTGCTGCCTGTGAGGTCCCGCATGCTCCAGCCCCTGCCTCCCTGCTCTCCATCTCATCTGGAGCCACACTCATGCCTCACACCCTCTGTCTTCTTTCTTTGATGGACCAGCCGTTCTTTGTCCTTGCTGTCTCTTCCACTCTGCACGGCTGGCCCCTTTTCATTCTTACGGCTCTTCCCTGAGAGGCCATCCCTGCCCTCTCCAGAGGGGTGTGGATTAGAAGAGAAAGAGCCTCCTTAGGCAAGGCCATGAGAGAAGGAGGAACAGGTGAGCTTCAGGGAGGGGGTGGTGGGCATCTGCCCCCGTGACTCTCATTCAGGAGCCCCTTTGGGAAGTGTGGAAGGAGAGGGAGCCAGCAGCACGGGTAGGGGACTGATGGTGCAGGAGGGGAGCTGCCAGGCTGCAGGGCGAAGGAGAAGCAGGCCCCAGGCTCAGCTGGCATGTCTGCTGCCGACTGATCTCGGCTCTGCCGCTCTAGTGACTTCCCTACCCCCTCGACCTGCCCAGCCCTGGCACACAAGAGCATTTTCTGCTTTTTCCTTTGTCACCTCACCTTGTAATTTATCAAGGTTGTCAGTGTGAGCGTGTGCCTTGCTCTGGCCTTGGGAGCCTGTCCCAGCTACCTGGCTGCCCTGAGAAGCCAGCTCTTTCTGAGCATTTGTAAGAATGCCAAGATTTAATGATCTTGTGGAGGCCTTCCAGCTTCCCTCACTCCCGGGCTCCTCTGCTCTCAGACCAGCCGGAGTGGCCTAGGCGGGGTGCAGCCGGACTGCTGCAGGGGTGGAGGGTGGGCAGCTTCTCTCCCGCTCCAGGCCTGTGCCCTGCCTCCAGGATGGAGCCTGGACTAGGCGTAGCTCTCCCTAACCCTGTCCTGTTTTCCTCCCTGATTTACCAGAGCAGCCTGGGAGTGTCCTGGGTCCCGAGTGTGCCTCCTGCAAAAGAGTCTTTTCTTCCTACTTCAAAAAGGAGCCGGTGTACCAGCTTCCCTGTGGCCACCCCCTGTGCCGGCCCTGCCTGGGTGAGAAGCAGCGCTCCCTGCCCATGACGTGCACAGCCTGCCAGCAGCCTTTCGCCAGCCAGGACGTGCTGCGGGTCCACTTCTGAGTGACTGGCCTCAACCCGAGAAGACTTATTCCTGGGAGGAGCAGAGTGGGGGTCACAGCTCCCTGGGGTCTGGCCAGGCCCCAGGCACAGAGGGGCCTCTTCGTTCCCGAGGGCTTTCCCTTTATTGCCTCCCGCAGTGTGGCACAGGCCCTGGAGGCGGCACTCCACTCCAGCTCAAGTGGCAATAGGATAACAAAGCCATACTTGGGGCTGGGAGGCTGGGGGAGATGTTGCTGCCCTCCTGTACCTCCCTGCCACCCCCTTTCTGCCAGAGCTACAGCCAGCCCCCCCCCCAATTATTTGCATACACACACACACACACACGTGTGCATGTGGGGGGGGCTCCCCCATCCTGCAGGGTGGATGTACATGGAGCACAATAGTCTGGCTCGGGGTCTCAGAGAGCCTCTGTCTTCAGTATCATCCAAACGTGGGGTGAATGACTCAGCCCCCGACCGGCAGGCAGCGTGGAGCCTCAATAAAGTGATTGTTGGCATCGGCTGTGGGCTTCCTCCTGATGGGTTGATTGCCTGTCTGTCGTCATACTCCTGTTCCCCATCCCACCCCCACCTCCACCGCCTCTGCCCCCATACAAAGCGGAGTTGTCACAGGGCAGCCGTCAGCAGTCACTGCCACCCAGTCAGCTGTAACTCGGTCAGGTGCTGCTGTGAGGGCTTGCAGGTGGGTGTGTGGGTGGGAGGGAGGGTTGGGGCTGGGTGCCACGCACACTTGCCTGTTGGCTGCCGCCCTCTGAGGGGAAAGGTGCCTCTCCCACAGGGCCTGTGTCAGGAAAACGACTCGTTTGTGGGCTGCAGTGTGTTTTTCCGTTCAAAATTCACTGTGGAGTCGCAGAGGGAAAATATGTGTGCTTACAATTGTTTGCTGTATGGAGTAGATTCTAGTCACTGGAGGAAGGTCAATGAGAAACTACACCGAACTTTTCCCTCTTCTGAGCGGCACTGAGCAGCTCCGTACGTCATCCTGGAGGCTCGCTCCATCGCAGGCTCCTGTGGACAGGCCGGGCCTCTGCCACTTGCGGGCTGGAGGCTGGCATTCTCCCTGGTTTTAAGCTCTGCACACGGGGCAGGGAGAACTCCAGTCCTTGCACTGAATTTTATTAAAAATTCAGCTTGTTGGACTGCAGTCCAAACCCAAGATTCAGAGATCTGAGGTTGGGGTTCAGGAATCTGCCTGTTAAAGCGTTCCTGGGGGATTTGTGTCTCAAAGGTGGCTGCGTCCTCCCCTCTGCCTCCTGGTGGCGCTTCCCTGGAGACGCCAGGGTCTGCCCTGGTGGCTGACGAGGCTCCTGTGCCCTTGGCTCGAAGCAGCTGGGCCATTCCAGATTCCTGCCTCACCCTCCTTCATGCTTGTGTTCTAGGAAAAGCCCCAGCATTTGTAGCAAAACCACCGGGGGGGTGTGTGTGTGTGGATTTTATCTCCAGCCTGTCGCGGTCTCGGGAACAGCCTGGCTCTCACCAGCAGGCTGACAGCCTCGGGGAGCCCCTCTCTCTGGGGCTCCCTGTTTGCCCCACCTGGCGCCAGGGGAAGCCACCAGCCTGACATGCTCGGATGAGGGCAGAGCTGCCTCCTTCCTGCCTGGGAGCCACTGGGCTGGACGGTTCCTGTCTCTGACCAGGCAGAGCCATGCCTGTGTCCTTGGGGATGCGCTTATTCGCATCGAATTTAAAGAGCTTCCAAAGGAAGTGGGGATCGCACCACCCTTGTCAGAAACACACCAAGCCCTGCTGGGCTCCGCTCTCCTCTAGAAAGTGGGAAGAACCTTGCTCGGGCCAGCTCGGTTCAGGGGCAGTTTGTTCCCTGGAACCTGGGGCCAGGCAGGAGGCGGCAGGCACGGGGGCCCCACGGGCTCAGAGACGCGGGCTGCACAGCCTTGAGAGACTACCACGCCCCACCACAGGCTCTGGGACACTTCTCCGCTCTCCTGTATCACATTCTCAACACAAGCCTGTTTGGGGCACGCAGCCCTGGGCCCTCCGACAGCAGGAGGCTGGGCATGGCCCCGAGGCTTTGGGGGGTCGGGCCCTGGTGCTCATCCCCACGGAGCAGAGTGAGGCCTTGCCCTTGAGCACTGTCCGTCCTCACTCACAGGGCCTGGGCCACGCATGCTCTCTGCTGTCGCTTCTCAGCTGGAGCAGACGGGAAGGAGGGCCGCTCAGAAGTAGTCCTGGAGGTAGAAGACGTAGAAGAACTAAACTGCTAAGAAGATGAGGAGCCGCTCAGTGCTCACCGAGTATGGCACCTCCTGGAGTCAGGCCATTGGGCGCTGCTCCTGGGCCCTGGGGCAGAGCGGGTCCCCCATCCCCACGCCTGGCCTGCCGCCTCCCGTGGGTCTCCAGCTTGAGGCTGCTTAGCTGCTGGGTGCTTTTCTATTCGGTCCTGGGCCACCTGGGGGCTGTAAGTAGGTCTGTAGACAAAGAGATCTGCCCCTGGAGGAAACCGCCTGCCAGGCCACTGCTCGCCCCCGCCTGTGGTATTGTGATGCTGGGCCGGCTGCCACTGTGACCATTGTGAGGGCCGCTGGGTGGGTTGGGGCTGCCTCAGACCGACCCCCTCCTGCACAGCTGGCCCCTCTGTCTCCTCAGCTTCCTGCCCAGCCCTCAGCTCGCTGCAGCCTGCCTGGCCTCACACAGGCAGGATCCTTCCTTCCAGTTCTAGGAAGGGGAATGGCCAGGTTGAGAATTAGCCAAAGATGCACTATCCCATGTAGAACCACTAGCCTCATGTGGCTATTTAAATTAGTTTGAAATGAATTAAAACCTCAGTTCCTGAGTCACAGCAGCCACATTTCAAGTACTTCATAGCCACATGTGCTAGTGGCTATCCTATTAGACAGCAAATAGAAAACATCTCCAGGATAAAAACAGTCCCTGTTAGACAGGGCTGGCCAGGTAGGAACATGTGAGCCTGGCCCTTGGCTTTTCTTAGCTCCATGAACCTGTCTCCTGACAGGCCGAAACCCAGCCCGCCTTGCTGTAATGCAGTGTCTCCCGAAGTGTGTACGCGTACCCCCAGGGGTACGGGAAGAGTTTGGTGGGGGTATGCGTTGCACCGGAGTTTGGTGGGGATATGCATGGCACTGTGCTTGCCTGCGCCTAATTCTATGTTCTCATGAGTACAAGGGGTACTCAGCGTTACGAAAATTATAGAAGGGTACACACATATGTCAAAAGTTTGGGAAACACTGCTGTAATGCATCGTCTCTCGTACAAAGAGGGGCATAGTCCAGAGGGGTGATAAGATCTCCAGAGGGGCCGAAACCGGTTTGGCTCAGTGGATAGAGCGTCGGTCTGCGGACTGAAAGGTCCCAGGTTCCGGTCAAGGGCATGTACCTTGGTTGCGGGCACATCTCCAGTAAGGGGTGTGCAAGAGGCCACTGGTCAATGTTTCTCTCTCATTGACGTTTCTAGCTCTCTATCCCTCTCCCTTCCTCTTTGTGAAAAATCAATAAAATATATTAAATAATAATTTAAAAAATCCTCCTCTGAGGATATGTAAAAATATGTATTTAAAAAAAAAAAAAAAAGATCTCCAGAGGGGACAGGGATGAGGTGAAGGAGGAAGAGGCAGCTGGTAAGTTTTCATCAAGGTTTATACCAATACAAGATTATGCTACCCATCACCATACTAACAAGAGACAACTTCACAGAAGAAAAAGATAACTTCACAAGCATTTTGGATCTTTTCCCTTCCAATATCTATAATAATAAAAGCATAATATGCTAATTAGACCGGCCGTCCTTCCAGATGTCCTTCCAGATGAAGCCACTGCGGCTCAGCCGCCCGGTCGAGGAAGCCATTGCGGCTGCGAAGGCCTACTCTTGCACGATTTCGTGCATCAGGCCTCTAGTTTTATTATAAGGGGAAACGTCTGTGTGTACTGTGTGGTCTTGTTGCCTGCTAGTTCCCTTAACATTTCACTAGACACTCTTCTTTTTTTTTTTTTTTTTTTTAAATATATTTTATTGATTTTGTACAGAGAGGAAGGGAGAGAGATAGAGAGTTAGAAACATCGATGAGAGAGAGTCATCGATCAGTTGCCTCTTGCACACCCCCTACTGGGGATATGCCCACAACCAAGGTACATGCCCTTGACCGGAATCAAACCCGGGTCCCTTCAGTCCCCAAGCCGATGCTCTATCCTAGGGGTGTCGAACTCAATCAGAGAAGGGGCCAAAATCTAAAATCCAGCCTAAATCGCGGGCCGAATGGTTTACTGAACAGTCATAAACTGTCATTGTGATGGAAACGCAGCGGAGTGCAGTGATGACAGCGCGGTGCGGGCCACATTGCAAGGCCTGGCGGGACGGATTTGGCCCGCGGGCCTTGTGTTTGACACATGTGCTCTATCCATTGAGCTAAACCGGTCCCGGCTAGACACTCTTCTTATTATAAAGATCATCTTGAAGAACAAGCCAAAATAACGGACAGTTTGAGCTTAACCCACAAATACGTAGACCAACGAAATGACTAAAAATCCAGCCGAAGCAGGTTTGGCTCAATGGTAGAGTGTCGGTCTGTGGACTGAAAGGTCCCAGGTTCAATTCCGGTCAAGGGCATGTACCTTGGTTGCGGGCATATCCCCAGTAGGGAGTGTGCAAGAGGCAGCTGATCGATGACTCTCTCATCGATGTTTCTAACTCTCTATCTCTCTCCCTTCCTCTCTTTACAAAATCAATTAAAAAAAAAAAAAGCATGTAGCAAGAATAAAGCATTTAAAAAACACACACAAAACTTTGCATTCAAAAGCTTAAAAAGGTTTTATGTGTTGAGCACGCTGTCCTGGGCATTGTGCTCTGAGCGTATGTATTATCTCACTTAATCCTCACATTTAAGCTCTGGGAGGAGAGAAAGCTGAGGCTCAGTTCCACAAAGAGCTGGTCTGACGGACTCCAGGGACTCCACCTCTCGGCTCCGGAGATGCGCTGTCGGTAGCAGAGGCTGGAGAGGAGCTGACTCAAGCCCTCTCCCCCCCAACAGTGTGGCCACCGCAGGGTCCTCACAGACCCTGCATGGAGCTGGGACCTGTGCAGGCCACAGGGGCACCGACGGCACTGAGCGGGGGGAGCCCGCCCAGCCACCATCCACAGGGACCTAGCCACTAGGGTCCAAGCTCATCAGACGACCAGAACCGGAGGCACGAAGAATCTAATTATGGAGTAACTCGTGACTAAGCTTTTGAAAACTCAATAATATTACATCTCGGGGCACAAAAATAAAAGATGTTTCTTTAATAAACGCTCAGCAGAGTTAACTTCATGTAAATGGATAAATCTCTTGGTTGAAGTGCCAGTGGAAAAGTACCCGCCATGCAGTTCCTGAAAGAACGGGGTATGGGGAGCAGGTGCCAAGTGGCTCCACCCACAGTCTCGGGTAGGCTCTGGCCACCAGCCTGGGCGGCCAGGGTCCTACCAGGTGTGGCTGCCATACTGCAGTGCCCCCCGCTGTGTGACACAGTGGCTGAGGGAGATTCCGTTTTTTTG